TAAACAGTTAATGGAATAAAATAGTTATTTGAATTTTCATTACTTAGTAAAATATTTAATATATTTTTTGTTCAATTGATTCATTTCTTTTTGAAGATTTAAACAGAGATAAGTTCGTAGTTTATAAATGTGACTCTTTGCTTACATTTCTTCAAATTTTACGGTAATACAAAATAAAACATTATACTCTAATTACAAGCTATACGTTTCTACAACCTAATAATTAACGGTATTGTTTTTTTAAATGTTGTTAATTACATGCAATATAATGTTGTTTTTAAAAAAAAATATATATGTAAATGATGCCATTTATAAAAAAATATATATATAATCTTATCTTAGAAGGAAAGAACGAGCACAAAAAGAAACGGTTAATTCAAAAAAAAGAATTATATAACTATTTCTCATCAAAAACAAGATGGTATAAAAAATTTGGAAACTTAAATTCAAGTTCAACTTTTAAATATCAAATGACGGGTATTATACATGAATATGAAATTTAAATAGCAAAAGTAAGTTTCAAATTACTTAAATATTTCAAATATCGGGACAAGAAATAACGAATACAGAAAGAGAACGAGTAATTTAATTAGTTAAATACAAGCTATATAATGTTGGTTTTTCTAAAAATGTAAATTATTTCATTTATATATAAAAAAATATGATATTATATTAGAGAGAAAGAAACGGAACAAAAAGGGAATGGGTAATTCAAAAAAAAAATATCTAAACTATTTCTCATCAAAAACAAGCCTATATAAAAAATTTGGAAACTTAAATTTAATTTTAACTTTCAAATATCAAATGACGGGTATGATACAAGAATATGAAATTTTAATAGCAAAAGTAAGTTTCACTTAAAAATTTCAAATATTGGGACAAGAAATAACGGAAAGGGAACGGGTAATTTAGAAAATAAAAATTATTATCTTAACTAATTCTAATAATATACAAAAGGGAATTATGGGTAACGGGCAAGCTGAAGACATACTATTTATTCATGTGGGTGGACCAAAATATTTCAATTTGTTGTAGGACATGCATAGTGAACGGATTTGACTGTCCTGATATCTATATTTATGTTATTTTATTCAAAAGTTTTAATGTTTTCATTAGTTTATGTGATGTGATAAGTTCACAAATTTAATTGATTTCTAATTTATCAGTCATTCAGCTCACATTCGATCCGAGTCTTATATCATGTCGATTAAAATATTAGAAACTTTATGATAAACATAGTTTTTGCAACCAATCCCGCACGTGCGGGTCCATCCCTAGTGATATATAATTATATAATGATGAATACGAGATTGCTAAAATCTGTCAAACCCTTTTTTAAGGAAAAATATCAAGAACACATACATTGACGTAGAAAACTAGAAAAAGTATCCTAGAATACTATACTAACGGGACAAAACACTCGTTGTCACTTGTCACTTTATATTAGGAAGACAAATTGAAACAACGAAACTAGCCAATACCACTTTGCATTGTTTTATATTAGAAACCTAGCTAGCTATTTAACTTTATACACGTAAAGATTAACATACAAATTTTTATATGTAAATAAAAACTTACAATGTTAAATAGGCAAAAGAACAGGCTGGAAACTTAATTAAGTGGACATGATCATTGCTTACACTTGAGGAGCCATGCTCCTGCTTTGGTTTAAAGTTTATGCAATCCTTTTCGTAGAGCTTAAGTGTTATTATTATCCTCTTTTGGCTTAACTGTATTTTTTTCATTTTAGTTTTTTTTTCTTCTAACTATTGTTTAAGGTATTGTTTTTACTAAGAACAAATATAATTATAAAATTTTAAAATAAATTCGACAATCTCATGAATTACGCGTGTTTAAAAAGCCAAAAAAGAAGAAAAAAATAGAAGAAGAAAAGAGACTTGTTCATGTAATTAGCTTTAAAATAAAACAAGATGATAAATTATAATTAATACTAATTATTATGATGATGAGTTGTTATGTTGATACGAAATAAATTAAAATAAACAATTACAATATATGTAGGAGCCAAAAAAAAAAAAAAGGGAAGGTCGTGAGATCCCAATTTCAATTCCAATTTCGCAAAGCTTTTGTTTAGCAAATTTTCCATTAAAACGTGCTCCGAATCTATTCTTCTCTTCCCCCAATAAGATTCCGATTGATTTCTCCTCCGATTCCGATCACTAAATTCTCGGCGGTTGTTTTTCCCGGCGATTCTTTTGTTTTACGAGACCCAAAAAAAAACAAACATTTGCTTCTTTTGTTGGATGATTCTTCTTCAGTGAAAAACAAAAAAAAGAGATTCTCTCTCTCTCTCTCTCTTCCCGCGCCGGAACATGGAATCGGTATCGTCACGCGGCGGAGACGCCGTCGTAATGAATCTTAAACCGTCGATTGAGGTCTGGCATTTCCAGATTGCTGTCTATTTCGCTTTCGGATTCTTCTTCTTGAGGCTCGTCCTCGATAGATTCGTCTTTCAAGTAAGTAAGAATCTTTCGTTTATTTATTCATTTTGTTTCTTCTTTCTTGGAATTGATTACGGTAGCAGAGAGACTAGTATTGAATTCGCCTTAATTAATGATTATGATGATTGCGTTGACAGTTGAATTAATCGAGAACACAACATGTTTGTATTATTGTATATTTACGTTTTCTTTGCCACTTGATATAGAATTTGGATATATAAACAAATGAACAGTGTTGTTGGTTGATTCTTGTTTGCAAGAATTAGTAGGAGATTTGATTGGATTGATGTCTCGTTGTTTCAATCTTATCAGAGGATAGCTGTGTGGCTTTTGAGTACTGGCTCTGCTCCGATCAAATTGAATGATGCTACTACAAGGGCAAAGATCGTTAAATGCAAGGAGTCTTTATGGAAACTGCTGTACTATGCTGGTTGTGACATTTTCGTTTTTAAAGCCGTTTACCACGAGCCGTGGGCTAGAGATATCAAACTCTTCTTCGACGGTTGGCCTAATCAAGAATTGAAGTGAGTATTCATATCTGCCTTTTTTTTTTGCTTGTTGCCTTCAACTTCTTGTTTTTAGACATATATGCAGACGGTTGTTTCATGGCATAGATGTTCCATGGACGTGTGATACATTATAATGGAAAGAGCGAATAATCGAATGTTTGTTTTGTTTTTGTAGGCTTTCAGTCAAGCTTTACTATATGTGCCAGTGCGGTTTCTATGTGTATGGTGTTGCCGCGTTGCTTGCATGGGAGACCAGAAGAAAAGATTTTGCTGTTATGATGTCCCACCATGTAATTACAATCATTTTGATTAGCTACTCCTACTTAACCAGGTAACTTGACCTTAATCCATCTATTTGCATCAGTCCGTGATTTTGTTGAATATATGTCAAGAGTTTATATTTATCTGTGGTAGCACACCTAGGATTTTGATTGGATTTGTTAATATCAGAAAAAAGAAAAAAAATTGCATTTGTTTGCTTCTTAAAAAGATTCTATGGTTGACTGATGTTTTGTTGTTTAGTGACATATAAAGCAAAACTAAAAGGATTAATAGAGTACTGGGAATTTTTTTTTGTTTTCTTCTGCAGTTTTTTCCGGATTGGAGCAATCATCCTAGCCCTTCATGATGCAAGTGACGTGTTTATGGAAACTGCTAAAATTTTCAAGTACTCTGAAAAAGAATTCGGAGCAAGTGTGTTCTTTGCACTGTTTGCTATCTCCTGGCTATTGCTACGGTTGATCTACTTTCCATTTTGGATCATCAGGGCCACGAGGTAGAAACACTTTACTTTTTAACTTTTTTAGCTAATAATGTCTTGTACTCGTTGTCTATGCTTGATCTGACCTCACACCTTTTCTTTTTTCTTTAAAGCATTGAGCTCCTGGATTATTTGGATATGACATCAGCTGAAGGCACATTCATGTACTATTCTTTCAACACAATGTTACTGATGCTTCTTGTCTTCCACATATATTGGTGGTATCTCATTTGTGCAATGATCGTAAGACTGCTTAAAAACAGAGGAAAAGTGGGAGAAGACATTAGATCCGGTAAGACTTATGTCTTTTTGTTTAAGCTCGGTTTTGAATAAAAATGTTTTATCTATCGTTCATACGAGTCTGGGCCATTTCATTCGAGTCTGAGCAAAGATTTACTTAATGACTTGCAGAGCCACAAACTAATTGTAATCTTCATAATTGTATGTTCTGTTGGCTGTGTAGTGTGGAATTATTTAGGATTTTGAGTAACCATTGTTTTGTTTGTTTGTTCTTTTGTTAATGGCAGATTCAGAGGATGATGATTAGGCTTTGCAAGCATGACAGATACGGAACATGTTTCCACTTCTCCAACCAAACCATTTAGCTGCTGAAGAATTGGGTCTCAGCTTCATTACCTTACTGATTAGAGTTGGAGGTAAAAGAAAAGGAGAAAGGTTATATAGTTTTCTTTTTTCAGTTTTGTATTGATCTCGAGTCTACTTTGACATTAGACTGCATATTCTCTTTGACATATAAGAAAGAAAAACAGAAAATTGGGGGTTCTTGTGTTGTTCAATGCTGTATAAAACTATATGAAAGTCTTTGTAAATGCAATTCCTCATTGTATGGTTTACTACACCATAGTATTTGTTATGAAGCTCATTGTTGAAATTATCTGTTTAGTGGTTACTTTTGCTCAGATTCAATTGCATACACGAAGACTTTATCAAGTCATGAAGAATTATGAAACCAATGCCAAACCCAATTTGATTCAAGTTGATAAAGCAATCAGCCATATTTGTGCAAAAGCCAGATGTCAGCAATACAAAGCTTCACACGACAGCAAAAAAACCAAACCTGTACTTGTCCGACCATGTTTGTGTGCGTTGAGTCTGGACAATAAATATGATAAACTAAAACGAAATTTATAAAGGCATTGAATCGAGTTTATAAGTTACATACTTATAGTCAACGTTATAAAAGCTACTATGATTCCGTAACTTTCTATGTATGAATCAAGTTCATTTTCGCAATGCCACACTGTCTTTCCTTCAAGCCAGCTTCTCCGGAGGCCTCTAACGGCGAAGACCCTCATCCCCATCCTTCCACAGGTATGGGCTATCACTCAAAATAATTGCCCACCACGTGTTTGTTGAAATGCCTGACTGAGTTCGTCTTTGTTGTACAGAAGGTGTGGCCTCCACTTTTAACCTCAGCCATGAGCTGACTCGCGCTTTTCAAACTCCTTCCCACCACGACATACGTTCACGCCTTCTTGAGATCGACCCAACACCAGAAAATCTCGAGCTGTTTCTCTCTCAAGAGCTCAAACCAAACAAAGAAAGCGTTCAAGAGGCTCTTAGAGACGCCAAGCAAACTTCACTCACCCAACTCGTCTCTACTTACTTCCAACACAGCGAAAACGCTACCCGCTTTTGCTTGAATCTTTACCAAAACGTCCACAGTGCCCGCTGCCACCTCTACACACCTCTCTCAGAACTCTTCCACGGTGATCCTGCCATTGACGAGTTCTTCTGTAACTTGGCATTCGATGTTTTCCTTAAGCTGGACACTTTTGAAAACCCTTTCCCATCTCCTGACTCTCACAGCTTTCGAGACACCAAATTATGCTTAAACCAGCTGAAGGACAAGCTGGACACCCGTCTCCATAAGTCTAACTCACGGGTCCGCATCCTCCACCATGCCACAGTTGGTTCTGCCTTATGCCTTGTTACTGCTGTGGTTGCGGTTGCTGGTTCTGCGGCTGTTATTGCCTATCATGCACTTCCCACTCTTGTTGTTGTTGCAGGGCCCTTGTGCAGTCCCTACCTCCCTCACAGTTTCAAGAAGAAGGAGCTCACTAACATTTCTCAGCTCAATGCTGCTGCCAAGGGTACTTTTGCACTCAACACAGATCTTGACACCATTGACCGTCTTGTCTCCCGTTTGCACACGGGGATTAAGAACGACAAGCTTCTCATTCTACTTGGATTGGAGAGGGGGAGGGACGTGTATTCAATTCAGGTATTTGCGAAACAGCTTCGCAAGAGCCATGTTAACCACACCCATCAACTCAAGTTTCTTGTGGATCATATTTGCCGTTGGTTCACTAACGTTAACAAATCCAGATCATTGCTCCTTGAAGAGATCCTTATTCCCCGAACGTAAGCTCCACTGATTCACTGACGCTTGTTAGTAGGTCATTACCTAAATTTACGCTGGGCAGCCATGGTAGAGAGACCAAATTACTGCAATCTCTTGAGTCAAAAATCAATGAAGGTTACAAGGTCAGTGGTTTATTGAGCGTCAGTGATTTTTACATAGACGTTGAGCTCTGTAGCTGGGAATACGGACTTTTAGGGTCCTTAGTTAATATTGTTCATAGACTTGCCTGCCTTAATCAGTAGTTCGATATTAAATGTTGTATTAGTTCGTTCGATATTAAATGTTGTATTGGTTCATATCGGACAATTCATTTGTGTTGTACACTTCAGATAGCTGTTTGACAGAATGTATATGTTTGACGACTAAAATCAAGTCATGAAGAATTATGAAACCAAGTCATACCCAGTTTGACTCAATCAGTAGGTAGTGTCATCTTTGAGTTAAAAGCCAAATTGTCATTCATCTTTGAGTAAAAGCCAAATTGTCATTCATTACAAACCTTCACGCGACAACAGCAAGCCAAACACTACAATCAAATTTCAAATTTTAATACAAAACTAAAGGAATGCTTTTTAGATACAAACTGTTTTTAAAGTCGTTTTCCAGAAAGGCTGATGGAGCTGACTTTCAAAGGAGTGGCAACCACAAGCGGTGCTTCTGGCGATTTGTTACCAGAGAAGGAGAAGTTATCGTGCATGAATCGGCTCTCAACAATGGACTCATCCTTCAACAAGATCTTGTAGCAGTAACAGCTCTTGAGTCCTTGTTGGTTCCTATAGCACTCGTGTGCGCTATTCTTCACCCGCTCCAAGTCCCATATCACACTGAATTTCCCTACCGTTGCTACTATGTGCCTCTCTTGCTTCCCGCTCTCCGTTACCTGCAAACAACACACAACAAAGACTATAAGATTTGGTCTTATAACAATCAAGATCCGAGGTGGATACTAGTGATATATGAAGTAAAACTTACCCATGAGAAGTGACCGCCGTGAAACTTATTATCTTTTCCTGCCAAGTGTGAATCTAATGGTGTTAGCTTCAGAAGCCTTGGCGCTGGTATTTTGTTTCCCATTCTTCCGCTGAAACCTGTTTTGGTCCGACCATCTTTGTCTGTGAAAAGGGTGCATATAAGAACCAAGTATGTATCTGTGGTGCCCAGTATCCATTTCCCATCATAAGAAACGTCAACATGTGTAATTGGTGAACCAAGTCCTGGAAAAGCCGTTTTTGCCATCCTCATTGAGGTCTTTGAGTACAGCCTTATCTTTCCATCAAGCGATCCCACAACGATTGACCCATCCCCAGTAGTTGCAAAGCACTGGAAATTTGTTCCTCTAGAAAACTGATGGCCTTGTGTCCATTCCAAGATGGGAGATTCGATGTTCTGCACTATGCCTCTCTTGTCCCTCATGTCCCACTGACACAGCCTATTGTCATCCAATCCCAAGAAGGTAGACTCTGATGGATCCAGCTGCGACCCTTTGGTATCATTTGTTATGTCTCTCATCGTAATTTCAGTCCCATCTTTCTCGAATTTCCATTCTGACACAATCTTCCCAGATTCTATGTCAAGCTGCTTAACACCAGTCGTGTTTGGTTTCCCTTGTTTAGCAGGACTCATCAGCATCATATTAGTCTCTGCCCTCATCAAAAGAGCCTTGTTTGGTGTTGTCTGGCTTGAACCCGATCCAAACTTGGAGTTTCCAGCATCAAATTTAACGCACACACCTTTCCCATGAATCCCGCGCTCCATATTCCTATAAACCTGAACCCCATAATCATTCACCAAGAAGGAATTATCCAACGCTCCCAAAGTCAAACTCTGCACTCCACCATTAGCCACCTCTTCGAATTCTTCAGTCAAATCCCTATTTTGCTTCGCCTCAGATTCCTCTTCGTCAGGTGGAGCTTCAGCATCCTCCCACATAGAATCATCAGCAGCCTCAGGATTGGCCCAACCAATGAAATCTTTCCCATACACTTTAATCCTGCTCTCCTCACTTGCCTTGATCTTATACACATTCTCAAACAGATAGTCTTGGAACCTAGTAACAAACTTCCTATAATCCTCATCCGTTAAGAACTTCAAAGCCCAAACACCATTACTCACAAAATCAACCCTACGTTGATCCCCAAACATTTTCAACTGCATATCCGTAGAAACCCTAGCTTTCACCTTAGAACCAACACCCAGAAACCAAAAGGACTCACCTCCTTCACCCGATTCTTCACAATCATCGTAATCATCGATATCCTCTCCGTCCGGAGTCGAAGTCTTAACGAACTTGTAAGATGTCATTTTATCAGTAATGATCCATTTCGCTTTGGGTGTGTTCCCACCGATATGGCGGTAAAGCTTAACAGCGTTCTTCATCTTAGGCGTTACGGAAGAAGAAGAAGAAGATGGGTATTTCAGCTTTAAGGCTTTCAGCTTCTGCTCAATATCGAGTGACGACGAATCAGATGGTCCGGAAGAAGAAGGACCAGAAACAGAAGATGATCCTTGCTTCTTCTTGGCGTCATCGTACTGATCCTCATCTTCTTCTTCTTCATAGTACTCGGAATCGGAATCCGTATCCGATTCAGAGATCCGATCTTCCCGACTCTGAGAAGTACCCATGAATTCGATCGAACCGAAATGGAGACGAATTTGAAAAAATCTGATTCTCGCAGTCGGATCGAATCTCTGATAGTTACCGAAGTTTCAGGAGAGAAGCGAGACGAAATTGGAAACTTTCACTGAGAAAATGAGAGAACGTAGGGGAAGAAGTTAGGGATTTTTGGGATTGGGGATTTTTGTGTTATGGTATATATAGGGTCTTGTGAATCTGTTGGGAGTTTCGGTTAGCGTTGGTATAACGTTGAGATTTTGCTTCGATCTGACGCGACGCCTTTAGAACACGTCGGTCACACGTCGGTCACTCTGACTCACTTGCTCTACTATCTTTCTAATCACATTATGTATATTATTCTCTAATCTCTACTTACCATAAATGATTAAACTGTATTTTATTTACAAAATAAATATTTATACATATAATTGTATGTCCATTTTGTACAATACCCTAATATATAACTTCTAAATATGCTATAAATCATTCACTTTTAAGTTTTTAAACTGTATTGCTTTTACGGTTGTACATTTTCAAATTCATATATCTACCTATGAAAAATACTAATCTTTTGTGCATAATTATTAACGTTAAAAAAGAAGATATCGAAAAAGTATAACTGAAAAAGCATTAGTAACAGGAAAAAATACAAAAGTAACACAAAAGCAGAGGAAAATCATTAAAAGCAAAAAGTAAACAAAAAAAGATGAAATTAAATAAACGCGCCAGGTAGGGGTCGAACCTACGACCTTCTGCTTAGGAAACAGACGCTCTATCCACTGAGCTACAGGCGCTTTTTTAATCTTATAACTTATGTTTATTTACTTCAACCATTAATTTGGTTACAAAATTAACATATTCCCGACACCTTTCTTCAACGGCGTTTTCTGTCTCTACGTTCAATCTATTAATCTCCTCCATCAACGACTGTGGAAAGGATCTGATCTTCTTCTTTTGTCCGGTTTCTTCAACAAATACGTCATAATAATGTCTCTATTCTTCTTCCTTCTCTTATCATGCTTCTCCATCTCTCACGCTCTTCCTCCTCCCCGAGGTATACATTTCTTTTGCCATTCTTATTTATTGTTTTCTTTCTGAATATATTACATTTACGATCGAATCTTGATAAACCATTTACATAATTAATTTCCAAAAAACTCTTGAATCCATCAATGCTTTACAATTGTTATAGACTACCCTAACACGTCTCTGTTTCATTACAATGTGGAAGGTTTCTTCTTAAATTGTGGATCGTCTTCTACAACGAACCTTAACGAGATAGATTACACACCAGACGAAGGATTTATCTCTGTCGGAAACACGACGACTATAAAGCAAAAAGACCTCGTTCCGATCCTATCCACACTACGTTACTTCCCTGACAAGTCATCGCGTAAACACTGTTATAATTTCCCTGTCGCCAAGACCTCCAAGTACCTTATTAGAACCACTTACTACTATGGTAACTTTGACGGTAAAAACAGCCCACCTGTGTTCGATCAGATCATCGGAGGCACAAAATGGAGCGTCGTCAATACATCAGAGGATTACGCCAAGGGTCAGAGTTCTTATTACGAGATCATTGTTGGTGTTCCTGGCAAGAGACTAAGTGTTTGTCTAGCCAAGAATGCACATACCCTCTCGTCTTCGCCTTTTATTTCAGCTTTAGATGTCCAATCTCTTGAAGATACAATGTACAATTCCACGGACCTCGGGTCTTACAAGCTCAGCCTCATTGCCAGGAACAGCTTTGGAGGAGACAGAGAGATTATCAGGTGCCCTTTTTCATTCCATTTGGTTTGATCATCTGACTTCTTTTTCTTCCTTGATTTGTGATGGTATGTTACATGTTGAAACCTAGCTTTCCAAATGATCGATACAACCGTCTATGGCAACCGTTTTCAGACCAGAAGCATCCGACAGTGACTTCTCGAAGCAGTATCAACCCATCAAACTTCTGGAATGTTCCACCGGCTGAAGCCTTTGTGGAAGGATTCACAGCAAGTAAAGGGAAGCCACTGGAGCTTCAATGGCCACCATTTCCTCTTCCGGCCACAAAGTATTATGTAGCTCTGTATTTTCAGGACAATCGGAGTCCAGGCCCCATGAGCCGGAGAGCTTTTGATGTCTCAGTCAATGGACTTTCCTTTTTGAGGAAGCTCAATGTGAGCACTAGCGGGGTTATGGTTTACTCTGGCCACTGGCCATTGTCAGGTCAGACTCAGATCACATTGACTCCGCCCAAGGATGCACCAGTTGGACCCGTCATTAACGCTGGAGAAGTGTTTCAAGTTCTTCCTCTTGGTGGATTCACTAATATTAAAGATGGTAACGTAAAGGTTTCGTTATTCATGTTTTTCTCTATTTTGCAATAAATGAAGCCGCTGGAACAAACACATTCTCTTCTGCAGCAATTGCAATGGACGATCTGTTAGAAAGCATCAAGAAGCCTCCAGTAGATTGGTCGGGCGACCCATGCCTCCCTCGTGCTAACTCGTGGACTGGTCTAACTTGCTCCAAAGACAAAATTACCAGAGTGATTTCTCTGTAAGCCAACTCAATACTTTAGTGAAGCTTTTATGTAGCTGTCAAGTACTTAGTCTAGATCTCAAAGAATCATAATCTAGGACTTGTGTTTCTTTTGCTAGAAATCTCACAAATCTTGGACTATCTGGTTCTCTTCCACCAAGCATAAACAAGATGTCTGCCCTTAAAGATCTGTAAGGGTCACATCCCAACAGGTTTTTTTTTTATGTCTGGGCATTTTTCTTTCTGTAAAATAAGTCTCAGCTGCAACGTCTGGTCTGCAGATGGTTGGGGAAGAACAAGCTCACAGGACCAATCCCAGATTTGAGTCCAATGACCAGATTACAAACTCTGTATGCCTTATTGTAACCAAACTTCTAAATGTTGTACAAAAAGATTTAGATAATTGGACTAACCGTTTTCTTTTGTGGGATGGGGCAGAAATTTAGAGGACAATCAGTTCACTGGAGCGATTCCTGAATCACTTGCAAAGCTTCCCAGTCTCCGCATACTGTAAACTTATTTTCCCACTCTCTGCTTTTAACAGCAAGCCTACACATACGAATCTGATAACCTGAAAATGTTCAATTTAGTTATAAAACAAACTAAAGTTTTGACCTGTATCAAATTGCATCATCATCATAATAATCTGCAGGTCCCTCAAGAACAACAAGCTTAAAGGTACATTTCCTAGTGCAATCCTCCAGAGAAAGAACCTAACTATTCAGTAAGAATCATTATACCAAGTTGGTACTTTAAAAAAAGAAACTGCATTATTCATAAGCATGTTTAAAAATATCCTTACCTTTTGTAGGGCGTCTCCTGAGAACATGCCAAGCACAAATAAGACTGGCTAAATTCGGGTTGGTAACAGCTGATCAGATTCAAGTGTTCATTATTGATAAATCAGGGCATCTGCAAACTACATGGTCATTTTTCTTGGCCTCGGAAATTGAAGAACACATCACAAGATGAAAGGGTTCGATCAAGGATGATGGCAGTGGGCACAACAGTTTTTACCTTTGCAAGGTGCTTTTAGATGACTGTTTTTATCTCTTTCAATTCATGGAAAACATGTATATCATCCGTTCATGTTATTAAACCACCTTTGAAACCCTAGAGTAACTTGAACCAAGTGAAGCACACAAAGATAACTGAAATGGATCGTGGTACCACTTTATTTTATATGGGATATACAAAGTCAAATTGAAACCGCCTAAACACGCACAAAAATTCGTGCAGTTCACAGTGTCTCGAGATCTGATACATATAAAACAATAATTGCCTATTTGGGTGTATTGGTGAAAGAAGTAGAAGACGCCATTATCTGAGCAAGAATCAGTAGTTTCTGTCTATACCTTCAATTTGCTTGTTTGGGTTAAACATCCCAAAGAAGCGCCTATCTCTCTTCTGTGTTGTGTTTTTTTAGGGTGCAACGAGTCAACTTCAACAACAAACCCGAGCTCACATCATGTATGCATAATTGAGACTCCTTTAGCACATTCAAGGTCAAGATGTTTCCTTATCTAAATCTTCCATAACATCAATGTCCGTCCGAGATGTTATTTTCTGCACATATCCTGCAATCAGGTGAAACTTCTAAAAGTCAAGATTAATTTGCATAATACACTAGGTAGAAACCAAAGTGCAAAACTCAGACAGAGTGGCTTTGTTTTTCCTTTTCTCAAAAACTAATCATAGGAGCAGCTCAAAGATATTCTAAAAATTTTAAAATCTTTCATTCCAATCATCTCAAAAAGGTCACTGGAAGGAAAAATAAACCAGGGAAAAAGAAACATAATCAGAAACTTACCAATCCCTTGGCAGGGTATGCATTTGCATATAACTTCTTTACCCCTTTTCTTGTAATAGCTGACAGATCCAGACCCTTGGCAACTTCTACACTTGCCAGTCCATTCATAAATTACTTCCTTGCAATCCTGAGAATTGGTCGGGTATATCAAGAATAGAAAAAGCAATCACAAATCATGCAAAAGCAAAAAAGGCGTTATTAAGGATATATTCTAGGCATATTATGTTACCACTGCCTATTCAGAAGAGCAAGTGCAACACATCTTTTCAAAAAAAGATAGTTCATGTCAAAATTTAGCACCATTTTTGCCAAGCTTGCATCTATACTTTACATACAATTGATGCCCATGATTCTATCATACAAATTCAACGAAACTCAAACCCCATGTTGAGTTTCAGAATTCAGAAACATAATCCGCCTTCAAGAATATGGCTCCATATGAAAGAACAATCAAAACCAAATCTACAAGCTGCAGAAGCGACTCACATATATGGCCATAGTTATTGGTTCGAAGGCAAATTAAAGAGCAAATAAAAAAGGAGCCATTATTCAGCTAAAGCAATTCAAAAATATTCATCGAAACTGAAGTGCAATTATCCTTGAGGCTTATCCAATCATCAAATTCTATAAATCAAAGGTTGGAGCAAGACAATAAAAGTACCTCGACTACAGGATCACATTGCAACCTCCGGTCAATCACATCAGGCGACACAGGTGATGTATCAGGATAAGTCATAGGAAGAGGAAGCGCGTCGTCGTCACCTACCAAGTAACTCACTCCACTTTTCGACCAGAGCAACCTCCTCTTCCTCCACTTAGCTCCTTCACCATTCCCACCGGCGGAGACGGAAACATCCCGAGACCTCGCCGCGTCAGAGGTAGAATCCGATTCCCGAGGTAATCGGATTCCGTCGCCAAGGGGGATATCTGCGGTGGCACGGCAACGGAGGGAGCGAGAAGGAAGGCGAGGAAGGTAAACGAGAGGTCTGTGAGAGGGTAGAGAGCGATAAGGGTATAATCGGAACATTTGAGACGACAAGTTTTTTGCAGGTGCGGCCATGAAATTGGGTCAAGTAATCAACCTCGACGAATAAGGTAATTTCAGATATTTTTATTTTGTTTTTAAAAACAAATCGTAAATATAGTGAGAAATTACAACATTCATGAAATTTAACCGTGAGGAGATGTTAGCGTACCATACAACAAAAAGGGTATTGTAGTCATTTGGATAGGGTTGTTTTTTTAATTTCAAAATTATTGGTTTTTTTCCTTTTTGTTTTTGGTTTATTTCTTGCCGCCAAAAGAAATCTAGGACTTGGTGAAATAGCGGAGCAGCACTGGACTCGTAGGTGCGTGTCGACAATGGAGGAAGAAGTTGTTGACATCTTATCTTCTTCTGATTGCGACGATTCCAGCGATAGTTATACAGAAGAGTCTCAGGAATCGGAAGGAGAAATCGAAAACCCTGAGTGCGAAAATCTTCCGGCGGTTTCTCCTTCATCCGACGCCGATCGGAAATCGAAGAACGTCAATGATCTTTTGAGGTGCGTAATTGAAGTTACTCGATTTCAATTTTGAACCTGAGAATTTGATTGATGCTTTGTGCGCTTGCGTCTATCTATCATTTGGAGTTCGAAATTTGGGGTTTCTAGAGGATATTTCGCGTCTCGTGTTCGATTAACTCCATTCAAATCGATGTTTTCTAGTTTCATACTGATGAATATGATTCGTCTCTGAAGCTGTATCAATTGCGGTATTCGATAGTTCTAGTATATTAAGAAATCCTTGAAGGTGATTGTTTTATGAAAATTGAATTGAAACTTCTGCACGGTTGACAGGGGGAATCTGGTCGTACAACGGCAGCCACTCCTTCCTCGGGTGCTTTCAGTTTCAGAAGGAGCGGCAGTTTGTAGGAAGCCCTTCAAGCCTCCGTGTTCTCATGGTTATAATTCCACCGGACAACTTTCTCGTCGCCTTTCAGCTCGAAAACGGTTTGTCCCTTGGGGTTCCTCAACTCCGGTTGTGGTTGCTATACCTACTAAGCTGAATATATCTACCGATATCGAGAAAGATGAAGAAGAGGAAGTTGTTTGTCTGCCACCTGATATTGAACCCTTGATATTGTGGCAATCTGAAGACGATGGAATGAGCAATGTTAAAACAATCATGGTGCATTCATTGCTCGTCCAATTTCTTCGCCCTCATCAAAGGTACTCGTTTCTATCTAAGGATTCACATCGTGTACAGTGTAATGTCTTAAAAATTCCAAAGCATTCAATTTTTTCGTGCTGAACCGCGTTAATATGTGCTTTTCATTTAAAGCCCTCAGTGAACGGCTGGGGAATACAACAAACCAATGAGTATAAAATTATCTATTGTTGACATCGAAGAAGTGTATACAACTTTACTTACATGGTGAGGTGGTTTTATTGACACTGCAGAGAGGGTGTCCAGTTCATGTTCGATTGTGTTTCAGGACTACATGGTTCCGAAAATATAAATGGTTGCATTCTGGCTGATGATATGGGGTAAAATCTATCTTCTCTGTTTTGTAAAATATGGATCTTGACACGGCATAATTTTCTATGTGAATTTCTTATTTCCTTCTAAATTGATTGACAGCTTGGGGAAGACATTGCAGTCCATTACTTTACTATACACGCTTCTTTGTCAAGGATTTGATGGGACGCCTATGGTTAAAAAGGCCATTATTGTTACACCAACGAGTCTTGTCAGTAACTGGGAAGCTGAAATTAAGAAATGGGTTGGTGACAGGATTCAACTTATAGCCCTCTGTGAAAGCACCAGAGATGATGTTTTATCTGGAATAGATAGTTTCACTCGGCCACGAAGCGCTTTGCAGGTATAGCTGTGCGTATTTTCCATTTGACTCTCTGAGAAATGCACTTATCAGCTAATTGATGTTAACACTTAAACAGGTACTTATCATTTCTTACGAGACATTCCGAATGCACTCATCCAAGTTCTGCCAGAGTGAATCCTGTGATCTTCTAATATGCGATGAGGCTCATAGGTTGAAAAATGACCAGACACTAACTAACAGGGTAGCATGCAAATTCATTCTTGTTTCATATTTTTCCAGGTTGATATGTTTTATTTCCAACTTTTATTCTAATATTGGTTATCATCATATTTGAATACAGGCTTTGGCTTCATTGACATGCAAACGTCGGGTTTTGTTGTCTGGAACTCCCATGCAGGTACTGCAAAGTTCACTGATTATCTCTATTATATTTCTCCTGCCACTTAACAGTTAACACTAAGCTTTCACTTTTATCTTTTGCATCTGAATTTACAGAATGACTTAGAAGAGTTTTTTGCCATGGTCAACTTTACAAATCCAGGGAGTTTAGGTGATGCTGCCCATTTTCGCCATTATTACGAGGTGACAGACTTTGTATTTTGATGCCATTTGATCATTCTGTATTCTGTCATCCTGGCTATTTTTAATTGATAACTATGTTAAGATCAATTTTTCTAGGTTATTCTTGGCCTAAAATGCTAAAACTGTAGGTTTAGCCTAAGTTATTTTGTAGTGTATACGTTTCTGTTATAGTTATTCTGTTTCGTTTCCAGTATTGCTGCTTCATGGCTTTGGATTCCATTAAATTGTAAGCTTTTTTGGAAAATAGTTTCTGGATGCGACTACTTTACGCTGTTATCTGTGTCATACTTAAGTTCTTGCACTACCTTCTTACGATGCATGCGTGTTTTGATATATGAAACGTAAGGCACCTATTATATGTGGGAGAGAACCTACAGCCACTGAAGAAGAAAAAAACTTAGCTGCTGACCGCTCTGCAGAACTGAGTTCAAAAGTCAATCAGGTGATTCTTCTTAGCATTTTATATCTATATATTTGTTTATCATAATGAAATTTTCTTAGATGATTTTAGTACGGTGATCAATAAAGAGCATCACTACTACTAATCTTTTAGAATTTTTGCTTAATATTTACTGCTATATCTTATGAAGCTTTCATTTTACTTACAGTTTATTTTGAGGAGAACCAATGCATTGCTCTCAAATCACTTACCACCTAAGGTGCTTTTCCTTCTGCATCTGCCGCAGGCTTCTAAATATAGTTTCTTGCATTGCTTTGAAATTCTGTGTCAATAGAGCCTTTACTACTTCTTTATATGTTGCAATGTTGAGTAATACCTGTAGTTTTGGCAGTAACATGATTATCTGCTGAAACTGTAGATAGAATGAACATCTTTGTGAAAGTTTCATCTCTTTTCTTAGCTACAAGATTTTTCCTTTGCTGCTTTCTTTATTTTGAAGCCAGAAATACATAAAAAAATCTTGATGCTGGATATTTCGCAGATAATTGAAGTAGTTTGTTGCAAGA